ATTAATATTCCCACCGAGGAAATCATTCCACCATATACCAAACGGTCTGAAGAGAAACAGCAGGCGGAAAATAAAGCTGCAGTTTCAACCGTGATTCTACATATACACAAGTCCAAATGCTGAGCAAACAGAAGAGGATACCAGAGGGTCCTGGTTGGAATCAGCAAGGCTTCGTTGATCAGTTTGACCAGACCTTTGAAGCAGCAGGTGTAAAACACAGCTGCCGTTTCTAAATGAGATTCCACCCAAAATGAGCTGGCAAAACTCTGACTCTGTTTTACTCTGTAAAACAACAAGAATGAAACTGAAGTTTCCACCTGTTTCCACAGAAACACGCCGGCAGCAGCTGAACAGAGACACTGCTGCATGTGACTGATTGTAATCAGTAAATCAACAGGTGTACAGAAAATGACATGTTTCATATGGTTAACAAAGAATGGATGGAGAAAATGTATTGAAACAACAGGTACACATCACACTGTGAAACCTGTTTCTACCAAATGGATTCAGATAAATGTTGAACACAATTAATCACCAAGTTTCTAAACCTGCAGGTGGAAACTACTCAGCAGGAGGGATGTGTGTGTTCTCTTCACACAATACCAGAGGTCGACGTCCACTAGTTGATCACTTGTAAACAGAAAGAGAAACACAACTGTTCAGGTTTCCACCTTAATCCCACCACAGTAACCAGCTGCAGGGCCACGTCCGGGGCCGCTCAGCCGAATCCATGCACATCCCTCAGCATTAAAACTTCCTGTTAATTCCTCTGAGACACACACACTGTTTGCCAGCGATGGATCCACGTTTTCCTCGTTGCTCACACACCTTACGTGCGTGGAACATACACACACACACACACACACACACACACACACACAGCATGGCTTCCCACCCTGCACGTAAATGTGTACACTCACACACACATACATACATACATGCAACATACACACGTATGGACCAGAAAAAACCAGCAACGGCAGCGCCGTTCCCACGAGCAGCCAGCCAGCCGACCTGTTACCCAGCCACATGCCTCTCTGTCTGATACACAAACACACAGGCACGCACGCGGGCACGCACACCCCGACTCTCCTCTGGAAAGGGTAACAGCGTTCCTCCTGGCACCTCCAGGCTCAGGATAAAAGGCAAAGCGACGCGGAACAGCCGGTAGCCCGCCGGGCTGCCGGTCCGTTCAGACGCTTGTGTGCAGCTGTAAACATGCAGTGGAGGAGGAGGAGTGTGTGCAGGAACAAAATCCAAGCCCCGTTACCGTTCTTTCCGCGTCGGGTCCTGCTGGATGCTCGGCTTGGTGGGCGCCATCTTCCTGCAACAATTATTTGATTTCTTACTTTCTCTTCTTTTCTCTTCTTCTGTCCTCGGATTTATCTGGACGCGGAGTCGCGGCGGTGCGCTGCGCCCTGACAGCAATGCGTCATGGTCGGTGTGTTAAGACAAAGCCATGTCCGTGTGTGTGAACGTGTAAGTGTGTATGTGTTTTTGAGCGTGCGTGCGTGCTGAGCTATGCGTGCGTCTCGTGCTCGTCTCTCTCCTCCTCCGCCACCGCCGCTCATGAGCGTGGAAACAACGGGCGGTGGAGGCGACGGCAGGGACCGGGCTGCAGCAGCTGAGGCATGCCGAGCGGAGTGAGGGCGGACTCGGGGCGGATGCCTCTTAGACCCCGCTGTCTCTCCCCTCTCTTCTTCTCTGTCTCTTTCCACACACGCACAGCCTCGGCTTTGGCACTACAGAGGAATTTCCTGCATGCGCTCCGGCGGAAAAAAACAGCCAAACAAGCGCGTCAAATCTTTAGGCTGTCGCCGCCGCTGCAGCGCCTGTATTCACATTAAAATCCTGGCGGCGAAGCGTCGCTCAGCGGTCAAAGTCTCGGTGGTTCTCGGAGCGTTTTCCCTCCTCTGGCTGCTGACAGGAAAAAACACCACACATCTCCCCTATTTTCTTCAGCCCCGACGCAACAACGCCACTCAGTTGCAGCTGGAGTCATTTTGTGTGTGTGTGTGTTGTTTTTTTCCCCTCTCTTCCTGTTTTACAGGTTTCACCTCGGGGTCATTATCCAGTTTTTAACCATCACATTAAAACACACACAAAATGGGTGCTTTATCTGAATGCACCTCCACACACCCCCTCCTCTCATCTCCACCCTTCAGTGTCATAATAAACACATCACAGCAAATGTCTCACTTCCACGTCCCACCACAGTAACTACCTGTTTGTGCTGCAGCTTCAGTTTTTTGCATATTTGAAGCGTCTCTGTCATATTCTGGCGTTTGCATCTGCTCGAGTTTGTTATGAGCGTCTGAATTTGAACCCAACTCTTCCAAAAAGGACCGACGCTGCTCATGTATTATATTTTAGGCCACTAGAAGATATTTTCTTCCAAGCTTTGATGTTTGTGCGTCAGCACCGGCTCATTATCCTCCAACACAAACTACCAGCTACTTCTGTCTTTTTCTCCCGACGTTCATTTAAATTCCCCTTTTTTAAAAATGTAGAATTCATTGTAAGCTAATCTGTGTTTCTGTGTGATTAACCCCCAGGCTGCAGCCCTGGAAGCTGAAAAGCCTCCCTCTCCACACCAATGACCTGTCAAGGTCAAAGGCATGCTGGGTATTCTCCACACAAACACAGGGTTACAGCCGGTGTTGTGGCGTAAGGTAAAGACTGAAGAGGTGAACCGTGACCTCCAGCTGGCGATGGTCATCAGCTGAGCCTCTGCAGTTATTCAGGGAAGGTGTCCACGTGTTTTTGCCTCATCATGTTCTATCAGGTGACAGCTGCACGAATTTAGATTAATTTCACTGTAAGAAGAGCTAAACACAAATGTTCAAAAAGTTTCAGTAAACTGGGGTTTTGTTTTTGCTGCCACTTTATCTGCACCATATCTTTGGTCATATGACTGACTGTGAACTGAAAGGTCACAGGTCTGACCCCCATCGACAGCCTGAGAGGCCTGATCGCCAAACTGGATTTTCTCCACTGTGGAATAAAAACACATTAGAGCAAATTAAGTTTGGGCTCTTGGCGATGCACCAGAACCGTTTTTGCTCCAAATGCAACACCAACGTCATTCTCACCTCGTCCAGTGGCGGTGAGACAAGCG